TAGCACAGGAGGTCTCCACCAACATGGTCAAACTCCACTCAGCAGGGGACACCGACAGCTTCCACTGGCATCAGATGCTGAATAATTTCCCTGGACAGCATCTTTCAACAGTTACATAATGTGATTATAATGGTGGCAGATTTTTGAAAAATCCACCAGTGGGCCAGAAATCATGACAAATCATTTTTTTACCTGTTGTAAGATAAATAAAAAAAGTAGTGAAAACCTGGTTGCCATGTTCAGGCTTTGCACTCCTAGGATTTGTGAAATCGATGTGGCCATGGGCTGAAGGCTGTGTAATGCACCTGACTGGCTTTGATAAATCCTCACCATGCTGCAGTGTTGCACACCGAGCCCTCTGGAAACTTATTGATCTCAATCAGAGTGAGAGAGGAAGCTCCTCTCCCCACCGCAGCAGAGCTTCTCTCAGTTTTCTGCACCTTATTACAAAAAACTGACATATTGTGTTGTGGTGGATTAATAAATGCAGGGGATGATTGAAGGCATCATATTCATCCTGTCAGCTTACTGTGTGTCACAAACCAGTGCTCATTTAGATACGAGTGAACTCTTGTTCAGTTCTGATAAATAAAGGAGAGAGATGTTGTCTGTAGAAGTTCATACTTAATAAATTCATGTTGCACAAGATCACTTCTGCTGTTGCACTTTAGTCACAAATGTTAGTCGAACAGCCTTTGCAAACATTTGTGGGTTTTTTCTATTTTTTTTTTTTGTATAAAGAAATAAATGTTTTTAGTTAAATTACAATTCATGTTGTTTTGGTTTGATGGGATGCTGGGAAGCAAGAGAATATTTCTAGTGTGCTAAAATTGTTCATTGTTGGAAAGATATGACAACATTGTTAAGGAGAAATGCAATTGTTTACATTCTGTAGTCAACAACAAACAGTTTTAAAACAAAGAAATCACATTTTAAGTCATAAAGTAGATGAAAACATAAACTGCTTACACGTTGCACCTGTTTACATGTTACATAGCAACCATGAATTATATATATTCACATATATAAATATAGGGATTAATTTTAAACTAATTTAAAAGATGATTTTGTCATGTTAAAATTGACAATTTCTGCACCTATATTCCCTTATCACAATAAGATCAAAAGCCTACAGCATCTAAACTGAATATCAAGGAAAAATTGGAGCACAACTTTGGAAATAACTAGCTAAAAATATAACTAAAAAAATAACTGGTTTTTGCATAATTTTCTGTTATAATTTGGGAGAAAAGTCTAAAAGTGCTTCTTGAAAATAATCTGCAGTGACCTGTAGAATACTGACAAAACATGTTGGATAATTCAGTTTTTTGTCACAATAAAAAATTTAAATTGGATTGAGGTTTAGACTTGGACAAATAGTCATGGACTACATACAAAAATTGATTATGTTTAAAAAACTTCCAGTGATATGATTAGGCAAAAAAAATAAAATAAAATAAATAAATATATATATATATA